CGGAAGTATTTTAATATTTTTTCAAGATCCAGATAATTTTTATCAGTTTACGGATTATCAAATTAGGTGCTGGACCCTCTCCCATCCAAAAAAATAAAATAAAAATCAAGTTGTATACCAGCTTTTAAATACCTTAGTTCAGCGTTCATATAAAACCTCAAGCAAATATGAATTTTTGTATAAAGAGTTTGATAACGTCTAAACATTGTTATGCAAAAGTGGATTTCGTACCTGATTGGTAGAATAATTCGTGACTATTTGAACAAACGAAACTCCATTAAAAAAAATGTCTAGTTTTATGATTTTGCAATGTATTAGTAAAACTTCGGTGTATATTAAAAACAGCCACACACACCACTTAGTATAATATATCCACATGTGTAACTGATGCATATTTCTAAACCTCGATGTCGTCCGTAGTATTTCTTCAGATGCAAATATCGTATTTATGCATTAAAAACATCAAATTTAGTTTATCAATTTACGCGTGTTTGTTGCAAACTAGGCTACTTGTTAAAAAGACTTGTTTGTTTGTTGCACAAAGCTACTCGAGGGTTATGTACAGTGGCCGTTCCTAATTGTGAAGTAACAGACAAGAGAGAAGGCAGCTAGTGACAAGGTTCAATCCCGTGACTTGAGTGCTCTAACCACCCCGTTAAAAAGAACACGGAAATTTACCAACGATTAATAAGTCGAAGTGTATTAGAGCACACCCGAATTGAGGGGGGGGGGGAAGAGGAGGATTTGTAGTCGTCTGTTCAAATTATTTTGAAATTAAACAATATTTATTAAAAGTTAATGACTAACAAAGCCTTGGTATAAAGGAGAGGCCACAAGTTAATTCAACATATAAACTTCTGCTTATGATATAACTAAGTGTACGACAATTTAGAATGATTTATAAAATAACTTGCAATGCAATACTGTTACATAAATTAATAACTTGGTAATCTACTGAAAAACCGCTAGATGTCGCAACCTTCGCTAATTGAGGGATAGCCTGACGTACCATTTTTTTTTAACAACAACAAAATAAAAAAAACGCTACACTTCTTCAACTTAATCCAGCTCTCACCATAACAGTTGTTGTCCAGCTACTTGCCAAAATAAATGGTTAAATCCACTGCTATATTTGTTATATCCCAGCCATCCCAAAGAGCCTTGGTATTGGGCAAAAGGGCCTCTTCGGCACTGTATACAGCAGATATAGTATGGTATAAATATGTTAAAAAATCCTTATGCTAATTCTGACTTATTGTAACATAAATAAAACTGATGAAAAATTACATTTCATTAACTTAATCCACTTCACACCGTAACAGTTGTTAAGCTATTTGCTCTGGAAATATCGTCCCAATCATTACTATGCGTACAGTATTCGACCCGGTCTGAAAAGTATTTAATGGACAAAGGCTTCGCCCACCTTGATTATAGATGGATGTGACTGACATATTATACTCTTTCTTTACATTCATTCAGAATTTCGTATTAATAACTATAAAACACCGGTGTTCTAATAGTTTTGTTGTTGTTTGTTTTTCACAAAACTTCCACCATTTTTTGCATTTCGCAAGATATGTTATCATATTTGTCAAATAACATTTAAGAGTGCTTCCTTAAGATCTTATGAAAACAGAAATTTGATTCCAACCGGTTAAAAGGTCTTATAAACTGGATGTACTTTCGCAGGGTCCCTGAGAGTGTTCTGTTTCAAGAGTAAATAAAACAAAAAATTAAGAGTAAATATTTTCATTTCTTGCTTTTGAATTCCAAAATGCCATGTTGTGTTGTAGCTTACAGAGTGCATAATTCTTCTCGTGATTCATGGCATGCGCACATTTTACTGACGTCGCAACAGTATAAATTGCAGCGTTAAGCGTCCCTTATGTGACGTCATATTAATGTCCACTGACTGACTGACCACACGTAAACTAGTGTGAGTGTTTAAAACGAGGTGTCCTTTCAAGGTGCCTTTCGGAGAAATAAGGTCTTGTGAAAGCCAGTTTTCTTAATGTAAAATTCCCGATAGTGTCGCTGATAAAGTATCTGATTTCATGGAATTATTTCATAAGTAATGTATACGTAATTTCAAAAGAGCAAAAACTAGTAAACTAATTATTTTTTACTTGGAATACCGTCTTCACGTTGTACTGATCTCTACTTTAAATTATAGATTAACAGTGGCCATTTATGAGTTCCAAACAGAATGAAACTAATGTTAATTTAATTATAACTTTATATTTCATTTTACATCTAGAACGTTTTAAAAGTTCAGCATAGTCAGTTTGATATAAAATAGCGACATGTATCACCGGCGTGTATCTTTATTAGCTCCATTATTTGCTATTACATCTTCGTCAGGAGTGACTGATAACCTGGAATTTCGCTAATTCAGTTGAAACTAAACTGGAACACTAATCAGATACTCGAACATTGATAAAACAATAAATAAATAATAATAAACTCGTTTCAGTCAACGTTTTGGCATTGCGGCTCCATCAAGGCTAGTTAATACAAGGTATGTTTGAAAATATATACTTTAGCTTTAATATAATGGTGTTTATGTCGATGTTGTATTTCTTCCCGAGTCAAGTTAGGTTTTTCACCATAAGGAATTGTAGTGTTGATTAAACTCTAGTAATTTTCATCTTTAAGGTTTCTGTTGTATGGAGTGCGCGGATTTCCAATTAAGGTATTGTTTGTTTAAGTATCGGATCCCGATTTTTATTATTATTTTTTTCAATGATGTGGATGTTTAAAAAGATTATGGTTAAAGTTTCTTCGTCAGTGTTGTAGCCGCAGAAAATATCGTCGACACAACTTTAATGTAAGTGTTTAGAGATGGCTGTTTTTAAAATTGGATTAAATATGTATTTGCTAATGCACTTGATAGTGTTGGGCCTATTTAAACGCCGTCGATTTGACAATAGAAAATTAAAACAGAACTTCGGAACGAAGTTAGGCAAGGTTCGAGATGTGGAGATTTCGCGTTTCGAGTCTGATAATTAATTAAATCACAAGTTTGTAGGATTCTTCGTGGAGATTTCGCGTTTCGAGTCTGACAATTAGTTAAATCACAAGTTTGTAGGATTCTTCGTGGAGATTTCGCGTTTCGAGTCTGACAATTAGTTAAATCACAAGTTTGTAGGATTCTTCGTTAAGATTTCGCGTTTCGAGTCTGACAATTAGTTAAATCACATTGGAGATTTCGCGTTTCGAGTCAGATAATCAGCTAAATCACAAATTTGTGGGCTTCTTCATGGAGATTTCGCGTTTCGAGTCTGACAATTAGTTGAATGGCAAGTTTGTAGGTTTCTTCATGGAGATTTCGCGTTTCGAGTCTGACAATTAGTTAAGTCACAAGTTTGTAGGTTCCTTCTCTTGGATTTTGGGTGTACAGATTTTTCACGTAAAACATGACATTTTCTTGTTTGGATCCAGTTTTGTTAAGGAGTCAACCAAATGTGAATTATTGTTATCTGAGATGTATCCTGAAATAATCCACGTCGGATATTCGTCAAGGTTGTAGTTAAAGGAAGAATGGGTTGACATTGTAAAACTCACTTTAATAAGTTTTTTTTTATATATTTTCAGTAGTCCGTAGAATTGACAAGTTCTACCATTGGTACATTGTACCAGTTTCTTAGATCGAGACTTGTACAACTGTTATTAACATTAACTAAACATATCTGGTATTTTACTGAATACAGTTTTAAAAAAATTGTTCTTTTATCTTGAAATACTCGAGAATAAAATATTAAACGATGTCTAATGTTCTCTGGAATTAAAATATCTTATTGAGTTTAACCCTTACCTGATGATGACTAGATACTATGGGTGGAAATGTTGGAATAATTAATAATCAGGACTTACCTAAAAGTTGTTGCTGTATTTTTGTGAGTATATTTCGCTAATAATATAAGTATTAAAATGACCGCAACAAATATTTTAAAATGGTTTATAACCTCGATAATCTATAGACAAAGTAATTTGAAAAAAGAAGTTTGCTTGATTTTGAGGTAAAATATTATGGTCAATCTTGAACTACAACCAAGGATAACGTTAAGAGACAATCTCATCTGGAAGTTTGATTTTGAGGTAAAATATGATGTTTATCAAAAAATTTGGGGCATAGTAAATCTTAAAATACAAGTTCCAAATTTCACTGTGTGATTGATATGTTGTCTTCAAAATGACAACTTCGAAACAAAAACAGGGTTAAGAAACAATCTCATCTGGAAGTTTGCTTGATTTTGAGGTAAAATATTATGGTCAATCTTGAACTACAACCAAGGATAACCAATGAGTTTTTGTGCGAGCTTTAACAAAATTATCTGTAATAAATTACTTTAACAGTTGCCTTCCTGGATTGTACACAATCTTAAACTAATTGGGTGTAAAAGTGCAAGTTTTGTAATTACACATGATCATGTTAACAAGCAAGTAAAAAAGCATGTTTGTCTAGTTATTTATATGTTATTACATCTAAGCTGGCACCAAGTCAACCATTGGTGGAATATTATGTAAATTTTAAAACTTATTGCAAAGATGAGATTTCATAAGATGGCCATGTTGAGTGTACATTCCACATGTTTTAGTTTAGGAAACCACCAACTGTCTTCGTCTTGTGCATGAATTAGCCTTGAGCACTTGGATGTTAATACAACCGTCCAAAGTTTTTCTTTTTTACATCCAAGAAACTATAACTACACAAATCAAGCACACTCACTTATTCACTGATACAGAGATGTATAGAATCTTGGCTTCAAAACAATACAAGGGTCAATTATCTGATTTCCTTATTTGCAACTTAAAAAGAGAAGATACAAAGAGTATCCTTTGGAATATCAACAGGTTTTATAAATATCACTAGTGTCCATTTATATTTTAAACTACAAAAAAATCACAGAGAACCACCAGCTATATTCATGTCATGTACTAGTTAACATGATTTTACAAACACAATGACACAATGTTTGGAAATAATGATCTACATATAATTAAAACAGCAAGAATTGAACTTATTTTTTATTTCAGAAATGAAACATACATTTGTTGTTCTTGTTAAGAACCATAGAGATTTTGTTACATAGTTATTTTCAAAGTACTTTATCTTGGAGATGCATTAAGCTTAGAACACAATCTTATGCTGAACAAACACAGCATTTTTATTTATCTGTAAAATTCATGTTCTGATTCATCTTTCTTGATATTGTTTTTATATCCTTTTTCAAAGTCTTTTGCAAGCACAACGTACCGATTTTCTCTTACTGCATGCATACCAGCCTAAGAAGAAAGATGATAAACATTATATGGAATACACTTAAAAATGCATGTTAATCAAATGGAGTGCTACGGGATTTTATCTGTATGGGGAAGATGAGTAAGGAAAGGATTTTAGTATAATCATCTACAAGAACTAAACACGACATCATCTCAGCTTACTTGCAGAAATTGAGTTTTATATGCAATGAAACTAAGGCAGTTCTATATTAACCCTTTATTAACTGACCATTACTGTATTTGCTGGTGTATACGACAATACTTTTTACCCCTCATTTTAAACACAGGTTCAAAGATAAGAGTTCCAGTAAGAACTCTCCGGTTAATAGCATATTTAACCCAAACTAAGTTGTTCCTTTTACTTTTTTGAGTAAGCACACTGACATGCCACCTATTGCATTACAATTAATCAAGACATTTTTGATTTGAAATGTATTGATCTCATCTGTCATACTAAAATATTGCTAATATTATATTATAAAAAGTTAGTTTCTGTAACATACACTAAGTTTGTAAACGTATTTTTATAGTAGATCACTATATCTTAAGGCTTAGTATTTTTAGTAATAGGAGTTTAACTGTTAACTTTGTAAAGTTGTTTATTATGTTTGTGTGACTTACGTTATGCTGTATTGAGATATCTATAGCATTTGATGGAGCATAAAAACCACACTTATGATTGTACTGATTATCCCAGAGTGCAGGTTGGCACAGATTAAAAATACCTTCTTAGAATTTCTTTACATCCAACACTTGCTTAACAATAGAGGTCGTCCTCTACACCAAACAATGAGGAAATACAATTAATTTGCTAAAAGAAAATCCAGGGTCGTCTTATACGTGGGATCATCTTATACACCGGCAAATGTGGTATGAAAGCTTTTTTTTTGTGAACATGTAATTTTCAAACATGAAAAAGAAAAACCAGTTTTGTCGAACGTGGAAAGTAACTTTTCCGATCTCGTGAAGCCCAGGTGACATTTTAAATACACTAATGATATTGTTTAATGCCCCCCCCCCCCCAGTGGGTCGTCTGCGACTTGTACTGCTAGAAATCTGGTTTCAATACCCGTGGTGGGCAGAGCATAGATAGCCCTTTGCGTGGCTTTGTGTTTAAAAAAACAAAACAATTGTTTAATGGGTATTATAAAATTCTAAGTTGATTGTTTTGTCAGTTCATAGGTTTATCAAAAAGACAAATAAATAAATCTTCTCTCTCTCAAGTTACTTTAAGATTAATTTAACAATTTTAATTACTGAAATAAACTCTTATAAAATAATATTATGCAACTACATGATTTGAACTAATCTTGCATTTGTAACGACCAACTTTTTCATACTGTTAAATCATTATCTTGATCTAATGACTAAAATAGTCTTCAGTATCTGTATAAACGGACTTTTTTGACCTAAAAATTACTCTCGTAATGTGCCTCATACTAAAAACAGGTTAAATAAACGAGGCATCAGTTAACACTAAAACAGAACATTTAAATCATTATCTTGATCTAATGACTAAAATAGTCTTCAGTATCTGTATAAACGGACTTTTTTAACCTAAAAATTACTCGCGTAATGTGCCTCATACTAAAAACAGGTTAAATAAACAAGCATCAGTTAACACTCACCTCTTGACAGATGGCATTAATGTCAGCTCCAGAGATCTTGTCTGGTCGAGCAACGTAATCTTCGAGGTCAACCTCATCACTCAAATTCATCTTGGCAGTAACAGTAGAAAATATCAATCTTTTCTGTCTTCTATCTGGCATTGGGAACTCAATTTTTCTGTCCAGTCGTCCAGGTCTTAATAAAGCAGGGTCCAAGGTGTCTGCTCTGTTGGTTGCCATTATTACCTACCATGGACAGAAGTTTTAACAACATTACTTTTGAAACTTAATTATATCTTCTTAGTTACCTCAAAACACTTTCAAAATCAAACAAGTAAAACACTTAAAATAATACCTAATAAATGTAGTTGGGAAAATTAGTCATAATTATACCCTTGAAGACTGCCCAATAGGACACAAGTCCACTAACACTTAATGTACAGAAATAGTAATGCATTGATAAAGAGTGTAAAGATTTGTTTTCTAATAAACTATAAAGAAAATAAAAAAACACTAACTTAAGCTGATTTCAAGGCAGATTTTTTTTATATCTTTTTAAAACGTCTGTGAAATTCTTAAAAAATAAAAATCCACTCTAGTCTAACAGATTTTCAGCAATTTAATACAACTACCCATTGTATGTTTATATACATATATATGTATATAGTAAAATAATGATGAGGATCTTTTAAAAATATTTTTTAGAAGTAATGAGAACCTTAGCAAATGCATCGTTTCTAATATGGTTTACTGATGACTGTAAATAATTGTCTCGTAGAAACATTTGTAAAATTCTACTCCATAAAATATCTTTTTAGCAATAGTTAATGAAAGAAGGAAAACTAACTGCCAGCTACAATGTACTATCTTTCTTTCAGAAGTAAAAACTTGCAAGTCCAATATTTTACTTCAGCGAATACGAGCTTCAGTTACTATGAAGAAGTAAAAAAGGTTTCAGAAACTTTACTCAAAAATTCTTTTCAACCTAAAATGAAAATATAGAATTGTTCTCAGTAATGGTTTGTCAACTAGCCCAGTGGTTCTCCACCTTTTAAATGAAGGCCCCATAAACAAGCTTGTGACGATTCCAAAGTTGTAAACAAAACGTATTCCACTGGATGGCAGCATGCTGCGACTACACAAACCAGCAAGCACGTCAAGCCATGACTGATAAACAAATAATTGTTCACAGTGTTGCAAAATTAGGTACTTTTGCTTTTGAAGAAATGGTACATTATTTTAATTTCAGTCGTCTTTTCATACCATTGGTTGGGAAAAAATGAACGAGACTACATCAAGAAAGGATCCCAGAATTAAACTGGATTGTAACTTAATAACAAATATTACCACATTTATTTCCATCTTAAATCATTTCTAAAATACAATATCTAAGCACTCTCTACTTAATAACCATAATTTCTTGTAATAACTAAAACCACTATAAGACCTACATGAAATTTTGATTGTTTAAAAAATGCTGGGACAGTATTACTCTGTCACAGTAATATTTTCTCTCTCTCTGTAACTACAAAGACTTCGGATACTTACCTTAACATTTGTTGTCTGATCAAATCCATCCATTTGATTAAGTAGTTCAAGCAGAATCCTCTGGACCTCCCTATCAGCTGAGAACAGAAAATTGTGTTGTGGTACATATAAATTAATTTCATACTGTTTCGTGTGCTATAAATTCTAGTTAAAACTCAAATTACTTAGCCATGTTCACTACCCATCAGGTTCACATTTTGCATCATGTAATGTTTTTATTTGTTATGACACTCACTGTAAATAACTTTGTGTGTGTAATTGCATTCTATGTAACACACACACACACACAGAGCAAACCCTCGCCAGTAACTAGTGAGACACATTGCAATATTGATGTTGTTTTTTGTTAGAATTTTTATTTGCGAGTCGTGTATTATAAGGACCATGTCACAAACCAAAAT